GGGGCATGAAATGCTAGGAAAGCGCACCTCGGGGGCACACGACCCCGCAATTGCAGCGCCACACTGACCGACCGAGTGCTAAGCAAAGCACCCACAAGACGACTGAACCCGCACTGCCAGACCTGCCAGGAAGGGGGGGAGATAGGTGCTCGACCCTCCCTCATCCGGCACAAACAGCTCCGTATTCGAAGGCAGGAACACAAGGTCAACCGCCAACTCCATAAACTGTTGCCACCAAGGTTGGGCCGTCCAGTACGGCACGACTAGGAAAGACACCCTAGCACTGCTTGAGTGCACGTGTTTTCCACACTGATTAAGACAACACGCTGCTGAAAGAACGGAAGAAATGCAGGATGGACAGCGTGCAACTCCTTCCAACTGACGTGCTCATAGAGCTCTGGTGCCGACCAATAACCGCGCGCCACACAATCATGCAGGACCGCGCCCCCCTCGCATGGTGCTCTGTCGATTTAAGTGACGCCCAGCACCGTGCGGCAGTGCACGAACTTGACTTCACCCAGTGCCTTGGTGAGAATGTCAGCCACCGTGTTGTTGGTGGTACAATAGCTGAGCTTAACCTCACCGCGCACGGCCGTTTCACGCATGATGTGGTGGTGCACATCGATATGCTTGGAGCGCACCAACGTGATGGGGTTGTTGCCGAGGCTGAGCGCGCCTTGTGAATCCAGCTGGATGTTGATGGCGCCGGGTGACAGGTCCAGGTCGCCCGCCAGCTTGCGCAGCCACATAGTGCCTCGTGCACGGCTGCTGCGGCGGCCTGGTACTCGGCCTCGAGGCAGCCAAGGTGCGCTGCAACTGGCTGCTCCAGCTGACCGCTGCACTGCCGAGCAAGAATATGTAGCCCGTGGTGGACCGGCGGGTGGCTGGGTCACCGGCCCAGTCCGCATCACTGTACCCACCGAAGTTGCTGGTGTCGCTGCTGCTGTCACCACGGTACCGCAGCCCGAGTGTGCAGGTGCCGGATAGGTAGCGCATCATGCCCAGCACGAGGCCCATGTGGGCCTTGGTGGGGACGGGCATGTGTCACACGAGCATGCTCAGAGTGTGTGTAATGTCCGGGCGTGTGCTGGTGGCGAGGTATTTCAGCTCGGCCACCAGCACACGGTAGCCGCTGCCATCAATCACTGTCGGCTGGGCGTCGCTGGCTGGCAGAGCACACATGCCCTGAGGCAGCAGGGTGGCGCTCGACTTGGCATTCTCCAGGCTGTGGCGCTGCAGCAGCTGCTCCACATAGCGCTGCTGCATGAGCACGATGCAGCGGTTGCGGCCATCCTGGACGATCTTCATGCCGAGGTAGTAGTGCGCCTCGCCAAGGTCACGCACTGTGAAGCAACCGGCGATGGCTGCCTTGGTGGCCGCGACCACTTGCAGGTTGTCCGCCGTCACCAGCATGTCGTTGACAGTGTGCTCTGCACTGTTGCCTCCGCCGCCGCCACTGCCATCGGGCACGTTAGACTTCGTGCTGTCAGCGCTACCACCTGAGCAGCGGTGGACTTCCCGACTCTCCGCCGCCGCCGCTGCTGCTGCTGTCAGGGGGGGGGGCCGTCACTGACCGGGGCCAGCGGGAGTGTGCAGGGACTGCCGTTGACTGCGGGTGTTGGGGTGGAGGGGTGGTGTTGGGGTCACCGGGGGTGGGGTGGCCGCTGGGGTCGGCAGCTTGGTGGGCGGTGTAGAGCTGCCGATGGGGTCGCTGCCGCCGGGGCAGGCGGGGCTAGTGCCGAAGGGGGTGCCCGCCCGTTGTGAACCGGGCTGTGGCGGTCGTCATTGAAGGTGACGTCGCTGCTCACGGTCACCTTGCCCTCAATGAGGATGCTGTGGGTGGCCGTGCCGTGCTCCGGTCGGCGGTAGGTTTCCGCCTTTGCACGAGGACCGAGTTAGTCCTGCTGGCTGGGTGGGATGCGGACATAGGCCAGGCAGCTGAAGGTGTGCAGGTGGCTGACGTCGGGGGGGATGCCGTGATAAGCTGCCCACGGCGTGGCCTCCCGGCCCTGAGAGGGGGAAACATTGCGCAGGAGGTTGGTGTAGAGCACAGCCTCCGGCCTGTAGCTGCCCGGGAGTGCTGCGTCGTGCAGCATCGTCCGCACACGGCCGAGGAGCATGTGGTTGAGTCACTCCACCGCTCCGCTCTGCTCCGGGGTGTATGATGCCGAGTGGTTGTGCATGGTGCCGTGCTGGCACAGCCACTGCCGCAGTTGCTCGGCGATGTACTCACCGCGTTTGTCGCTGTGCAGCATGTGCACCTGTGCATGGTTCAGGTGGTGGGCCTCCAGCTGCGTCACCATGTCCTGCAGCACTTCACCCACTTGGCTCTTGCTTGCCAGCGTGCGGACGGCGGACAGACTGGTGGCACCGTCCAGCAGCATCAGCAAGTAGCGTGCGCCCCCTCGGCCCATGGTCGGCATGGGCCCGCACAGGTCAGAGTGTACGACCTCCAGTGCATGCTGCGGCCGGTTGCTGCGGCTGGGATGGGCGGTTACGGTGGCCTTCATGGTGACACAGGCCTCGCAGACGGTCT